ACAGATGGAATTTATCAATATTTCTACAATGGGAAATTATGATTCCTTTTTCTTCCCTGGAATCAGTCTTGTTAAAACAGCCCACTCTAAGGTGAAAACTGAATTCTCTCTAGCAGGTGTTGATCAGGCCAACAGCCCCAAAGGGAACTTCTCACCTACTTCATTACAAGTAAGTCTAATGCTTTAGGATAGCAGAATTCAATATTTTGATATTCTTCAGTCCTTCTTTGCGGTCTAACATTGTATGCATCTGCCACCAGGATCGGAGAGGTGCTGTGGATGCAAACATGTTCACTCCAGGGATTTCCAGATCAGCTGCCCGGCAGAAGAACCCTGGATTGAGGAGAACCTATGACATGGAGGGTAAATGATGATTCCCTTTCAAGGGAACTTCGAACTGCGTCCTCTAGGGGTCACTATGGGGAATGCCTCGTCGTGACCCGTGTCTGAAGCATACATTGAAAAAACACCAACAACACGTTGGCCGGCGACAGCCCATGACGTCACTACCGGTGCGACTATAGTATAAATAGGCACCGGGAGAACATGTCATTCTCTTCTTCGTCTTCACTGACCGTTTTGTTTGAAGCATGCATTTCCGAATGGTAAGAGCGATCTATATTCCTATCATTATGGCGAGCACTAGAAAAGCGTTTAGAGGGTGTGTGCATCCGCGTCGTCGTTATTTGACACCTGATGACACACACGATCTCTGCGTTGTTTGTTTGGGCAAAGAGCACGCACGCGATGTCCTTGAGGGGTCAATCCACTTTCATTGCGAGCGTATTTTAATGAAAAGCTCCGCTCTCGTTTGTCTCTCTTTTCGAGGAAAGGGGGGCAGCCATTTGTGTCCCGCGGCTCTGGACCCACCGCTGCTGAGGCATGGAGGAGGATGGGCTCGTGGGTATCGCAGGTGGATCCGGCTGATGAGTTTAAAAAGGGGTTTTCCCTCTTGCACTCGTCGTCTGTGGACAAGAGTAAGCTACTGGAGGATGATGTTATTTCTTTAACATCTTTTGATCCGGGGGCCGGTGCTCTTCTGGGTTCGGCCCAGTAAGAGCAGGAGATGTCTGAGGATGGCGAAGAAGCTGAGGCTGAGCCTTCCCAATCCTCCTGCTCTGCATATGGTGAGTTTTGAGCGTTATCTTTCTTACGCATTCATCGATTCCAGCATACGAGTTATGCCAACATCGAGGCGATGCGCGGAAACTACTATGAAAGGATGCCCCTGTAAAAAAGACGACTGGCTAGCTATCGTTCTATGGGTGAGACGTCCTCTCTTAAACCTCCCTCCTTGCCATCTCGCTTAGATGGCAGGGCATACGCAGCAGCAGGTCAGCCTGTTGCTTCGTTGCGCACGATGCGGTGCTCCAGGCATATTAGGCTGACCTGCTGGAAGACCTGGATAAAGGCCTGATGAGGTAGCTGAGTTTCGCCACACCACAGATCTCACTCTCTGTGCTACTAAGCATGGCAGCTATAGTAGGTATTGAGAGACATCTGTGGGTGAACCTGGCAGATATCGGGATGGAAGAGAGGGGCTTTCTTCTCAATGCGCCGGTTTCGCCTTCAGAATATTTTTGGTTACCTCTGTTGAGATGGTGGTCCAGAAGTTCAGGGAGGCAAAGGCGCGCTCAGCGGCCTTCAGTCCTTCATTTCACGATGGTCCAGGTCTAAGCCCGAACAGCATAGGGGTCCTGGTCCGTCCGTAGTGGTAAGTGTGCACGCTGAGCACTTTGCACACTTTCTAAAATCCACATAAGTGGTAAGTGTGCACGCTAGACTTTGCGCACTTTCTGAAATCCTGTATGGTAAGGGTTACGCGTTATAGCTTCGTTCCCTTTCTCTGAGTTGGTTAGACCCTGGTACATTGGGCTCCACTCAACCAGTGTGTCTCTATTTTTGACACACTTGGAAGTAACCAACGAGACACTGCGTCCTCTAGGCTTCCTGCCATGCTTCGAACGCAAGCTTCAGACGAAGAAATGAATGACATGTTCTCCCGGCGCCTATTTATATTATAGTCACACCGGTAGTGACGTCATGGGCTGTCGCCGGCCAACGAGTTGTTGGTGTTTTTTCAATGTATGCTTCAGACACAGGTCACGACGAGGCGTTCCCCATAGCGACCCCTAGAGGACGCAGTGTCTCGTTCCCTACTCAGGGAACCATGGTTACATACGTAACCTGAGACGTTATCTCATTTATTTTCTCTTGGTCTTCACCCAATCTGCTCATCTAAATGTATTGGGACTTTCAGGTTTGGTGGAGTTGTTAAACCGAGCTCAGTGCTGCAGTGCTGATGATCAGCGAGGCCTGCTGAAGAAAGAACATCTAATGCTGCCTCAGTTCCTCCAGTTACCCCTAGAAGAAGTGGAGGAAGCTGAGACAAACAGATCACTGGAGGAGTCCTGCTACAGTATGGGGTCTCTCGAAGTGGATTCTCCTGCAGTACGATCAGAAACATTAGGGAAAGAACAATCAGAGAATGAGTGCTCAAACCCAGCTCGAGAAACTGTGGTGTGAGCTAAACGGACTTGTTACATCTTTTGCTTCAATGATCTGTCACACTGGAGCATGAAAAATAGAGCATAATGTTTCAGCAATGTGAACATGGCAGTCTTTAATGATGGACAATTGTCATTAGGCTTTTTTTTTATAAAAGCAATGATATGAAATATTGTTTACAGTAGATGTAATTCTGTACATGTTACTGTCCAGCTGCTTGTATTTATTTGAAAATGATTCACATAACAAAAATACATTCTGTGTACATGAAGACATTGCGTACTTGGCTTAAAGGTTACACATTAGCGATTGCATTAGTTATCGGGAATGAACAGTTTTTAAAGCATTTATTAGGTTGGATTCATTTTAATTTATAAATGTATGAATTTGCCTTTAATATTAAAAACATATTAGTGTATGTAAAAATTTACATTCATATTTTAGGTCTTTATTGACTTTAACAGTTTCCTTAATGTAACATTTCTGGGTGAAACAGGATATTTGATTTGATTTGATTTTTTTTCTAATGCAATTTTTTTTCTTGATTGGATCATGAAAAGTAGGGTTCCATACCAGAATGACTTGAGTTATGGAGGCTCAAGTTCACCCTTGAGTGCGTGTGTCTAATGTACCAATGGTTCTGTAATTAGGGGCCAAGCACTGAAGGTGATGTAAGTTTATGTTAGTTGTCTTATTATTCCTCATAGAGTATATATTATTATACTCTATGATAGGAAAATTATGAAAAATGGCACAATTATAGTGGTTGTAATGAAGAGTAATATGACCAACTTCGGGGTCTCTAAGACCTACTTTATTGTGCCACCACCAGTTCAAAAATTCAATTTTCCAATGGTTATAACTTTTGAAGCCTTTATTCTAGAAATACAGTTTTAGTACACCTGATTACTCTCCTCAAGATGATCAAATTCAATATTACATGCCATTTAATGAGAAAATCATGAGCTTTGGTGGGGTGACAGCATGTCCTGAAGGTACCTGAGATGTTTACAGACAGCGGCAACTACTATTCAGAAGATATAAGGCTTTAACAAAAACGCTTATAACTTTTGAAATCTTTGTACAAAATTTCATTTGTGATATTCTATTTCTTGATTTATGCTGATTCCGATTATATCTCACATGTCATTTTCCAACATTTTGCTGGTCCACTACTTTTAGGTATACATTATGAAAAAAAATACAAATCCTTTACACTTTTGTCTAAAATCAGTTCCTGTTTGGTGCAGCTTCAGGTAGTTCTGAGCATAAAATAACAGTCCTGCTTTGCATTTCTATACAAAACCTTGTGCATTTTTGTGCCTTTGAGATGCACATTGCAGTCCCTCTGATTGTTTCCTGTGACATTTGACATGCTTGTTGTGCTTACTATACTTGCTGTGCTTACTGTAATTTCCATGCTTGCTGTATTTGTCGTGTTTGCTGTGCTTTCAGTGCTTGACCCTGAATGCTGTTTGCAGATATATTCTGCTTTTACTACCATAACTTTTACAATATTTAATTTAACAGGTAATACAGGATTATGCACTGGTATGCAGAATATAATCTCACTTCCTAAACCATATAACCGCATTAACTGTTCCGAGATATAACAACAACAGCCTTAGCCTCTGTAAATGGTACGGTGAGCAGTGGTCATTCTTTATTTAGTCTTGGGGTGTCCAAATCTGTTCCTAGTGGGCCACTGTCCTGCAGAGTTTGGTTTTAGAAAAGTGGTATTCCTAGTATAGAATTCCTGAATGGAATAGTTAACATTAGCTTGTGCGTCACAAGTGACATAATCCAAATAGGAAAAACAATTCAGAGATTGTTTCAATTGATTACATTTTGTTGAAAGATTATGAAAACATTATTTTACGTCCACAATAACACATGAACCTAAATTAAATACTATCATTTTTAATGTCATTATGATTTTAATGGCTTAAAAGATTGATAATGTCTGGGCTTCTGTGAGGAGCTCTCAAGGTTTGTTGGTTTCGCTTACTCATGGTGTGTCTTCTGAAGACATGCAACTGCCTTTTTTGAATAAAGAGAGAATAACAGAAATGGAAGGAGGTAAAATAGAGGCAGGGTTGGAGAAGGAGCTAATGCATGGAGTGTACTCAGCTAGTAAACTTGATGCTGATGGTTCCCTAGGCTTTAATAACAAACACAAACCAAACACACACACACACACACACACACATTTTTCCCTAGGGTACCTTGTCCTCAGGAAAGTCTTCATCAGGGACATTATTTTATGGTCTCTGAATGGACATTGTGTAGCGAAGTAATCAGACTCAATCAGATGACCAGCCCCCAAGCTAAGGCACAGATAGAAAGAAAGAGAAAGGGAGAGAAAGAGAACGAGAGAAGAGAAGGGATGGGAAGGCAGAGAGAGAAAGAAGACTGAAGGGAGGGAGGCGAATCTGTGAGGTGAGGATTCTGCCTTACATCACTGAGCATGTCTTTGTGAGGATACGATTGCTACTGTTCTAACTCGTTTTTAAAGGTCTCGTTTGTGTTGTTTCAAGCAGAACAGTGCTGCACAACTGCGTGTCTGTCCTCAATGAGTGTACACTGAAATAACAACAGGTTTTTTCAAGGTAAGTCCACTTTAACAAACTCCAATATGTAATGTTTCTTTTATTTAGTTTTTATGCTGATTGCAGCTTATGCACCATATTTGTATTTTTTGGTTTTAAAATTGATTTATTTTCAAAATTAATTATTTTTTAGTCTAGGGTGCTGATGTCATCTTAAACCTGTGTGTGTGTGTCAGAAGCAGAACAGTTCAATCAAAAACAGAGAGTCTGCTACACAAACACACGCACACACACACACTTGTTTTTCTTTTACATTGGGGACTTTCCATCGGCTTTTGTTGTTTTTAATACCGAGCTAATGATATGTCATATCCCCTAACCCTACACATAACCTTTTTCAGTTTCATTAAGATGTTATTTTGCCTGCTATGTAGCTGTTTTCCATTTTGGGGGAAATTAGGCAGTCACCACAATGTAGGTGACTTCAAGTTTTACTATCATTTTAGCGACAGTTGGCCCCTACATTGTAGCTAGACCCAGACACACCACAGCTGCACCCCACTTCCCACAGAGTTCATTCAGATTAGCCAAATTAATCATATGATGTGTATATATTATTAAAGATATTATGTAAATTTGCTTGTTAAAATGTACTAGGTGTCATTCTTTCTCAAGTATGAAATGCATGTAAAGTATGTGAGATGCTATACGATGTTAAACTGTCAATCTAACCTTGGCTAATATGTAGTTAAGGAGTCAAAATCTAAAAAAATTAATTATTAGAAGCTATGCACAGAAGTGTTTTGGTGCTGTTGTTATATCAGACAGTTCTGCATACACACACCAGAGAGAGTCTGTCAGTTTTACTAGAAGGTCCAGTAATGACATTTTAATTAAACATTATGAGGTAAAAAAAGTGTATGTGCATAGTATAGTGCTGTCCCACAGTCCTACAATTGATTTAAAATATCAAATGGAAACTCTAAAACTAAAGTTATAAACTTTGTAAAATTTGGGGTAAATTTCTCATAGTGACTCATAAAACGGATTTCCTGTGATGTATTAGATTGCGACGATTATCCTTCTTACTCTTCCAATTTGAATAGATGTTTTCTGTTAACAACAATTCAGGGTTTGTGCACAACATGTTCAAAACTGATCTGAGATGAATCTTTAGATTTAGTTGGCTTGGTTTATGGAACATAATTGTCTTGACTCATCTGCCAGTTAATTGTTCATGACAGAGATGAAAAGTACAAAATAACCACTATTTTAAACAACTTGAATGATTCAGTGTTATCAAAAGGTAAGGTGAGGTCAGGCAACTTAAATGAGTCAAGCTAATAATTTTCTATTACTAATTTGAATAAACTCAAACCGCATTGTTGCAACCGTTCTCCAGAACACTCTGCACAGGCACAAAGTTCACCTTGCTCTGTTTCGAAAGATGAAAAATCACATTTTGAGACAGGGGTCCCTGTAATCTAAACCCACCCTGGAGGGACACCGCCCCTCACAGTCGTTCCTTCATCTGCCAGGCTCCTGGTACCGGCTTGTTGCCATGGTAATACCGTCTGGTGATGCAGTCGTAAGAGCTGTAGAGTCCTAATTGGCCTCAGTCCTGGGTGAGATTTTGAATAGCTGCTTCCGTGCCATGCTCTTGTTTAGAATAACTATTGAATACTGATTAAGGATTCTGTTTTAAGGGTATATACAACAAAATTCTGAACTGAGATGCAGGAGGAAAATGGAGGCAATTTTCTTTTTATATTTTCTCTCGCTTAATATTTGCATCTCATTTTAAAACACTCTCGCCCTCTCTATTTATCTACGTATCTATATCTCTATTTCGTAGTCTCTCTCCTGCCAGCAAGTACACATGCGTGCAACAGGGCTGATGGTTTGATGAGTCACCATCTGCTGTCTTCTAGGTGCTGACATTTGCACCAATCTCATATTTGAGGTCAGACTCGCCTCAGCTGGTGGTCTTTTTCTAGTTGATGTGACATTTCAAGTGTCCTGCAGGCAGGGTTGCCAGGTTTTCACAACAAAACCTGTCCAATTGCTACTCAAAACTAGCAGACTCACGTTTCGAGGGGGGTCCACAGGTAAAAAACTCATTCCGTGGGGAAAAATACAAATTTTTTGGAGGGGTACCCTATGTAAAATTCACATTCCAGTTGCTAAATATCACGTTATTGGGGCGCTTCAACCTGCGGACATGAAAAACAACCCACGGCAACAGTGTTAAACTGCAGACTTGGCAACATTGCCTGCAGGGTGACAATTTATAGTTCCTCTAAAACTATTTTTGTCTAACAACAACAACAACAACAACAATAATAACTGACAGTAAATAAATTTATATTGTTTTAATATTATTGTTATAAATTATTAATATTATAAATATTCTGTCAATTATAATTAATAGAATATACATCTATAATATTAATTAATAATTTACCAAATAAATAAGTAATTAAGTAATTAATAAGTAATTATTGACACTTACATGCTGACCTCACATAAAATTAATGAGAACTTTCAATATTTGTACTTATTGTATTCTTGTACTATTTTTGTACTATATTTTATCACACTGCATGAACATTGAATTTAATTAGATTAGTCACCACAGATTGATGGGTCCATTAAATGTAATATGTTACTGTAACTATCAAGTCATTTACTACATGGCTGAAGCTGATTGGTCGCTGCTGATTCTACAACTTTCTCTGAAATCCTTCACCTCCCCCAGCTCCACCTATCTGGAACTGCTATGGGATTTATGTATGCCTATTTATGCAGCAGCAGTATATCTTACATGCTCACACATCTCTGTCTCTATTACCATTTGCAAGGCCATACTTGTAGTAGTGTTTGTAGCAGATCTAGTCCACCAAAACCAAATACATTAACATTGTCATATCTATTAACATGCTAAAACGATTCTGTAAGTTGTCATGATTGAAGTTAACCCTAACTTAAATTATCTTGAAAAAATAAGAATGACAAATTGCTGTATTATATGTCTTTATTTCTTTTTTTTATGTGCATACTGTACTTCAAGAGGAATTGTACTATGGAATTGTGCTGTTTTATAAACTGCTTGCCTTGGATTCATCATATTATATTGTACCCCCACTGCTTTGATTGAAAGCTCTCTCTATGCATTGGCCAATATATGAGCTACCATGTGTTTGCAGCTGAAGAGGTTTGAAAAGTGTTGATGAGTCATATCAGTGAAAGGAAAGACTAAGCACACAGCAAATAGATGCAGTCAGCCTAGGCTTAGTTTGCCAAAGCCTGAGATTATTAAAGGCATTTGTGCAGTCAAGGTTCTGAGCCATCAATAACAATGGAGGTTCAAATCATCTCATAAACAGAACAAGCCCATGCAGAGATTATTTATTTGAAGCTGAGATGGCATTCATAAATGCATTTAGCAAATCAATATTTCTACACAAGCAGTTTAAGATATGATGTGTGCAGAAAGAAAAATAACTAAGCTAGTCACAAGCTTATTTTTGCTTCAAAAGCTTTTTTTTTTTTTTGGTAAAGTGGGTCCTTTGTTCAGAGATGATCCAGTGAGCATTCACTTCACTGTTCTGCTCCAAATTTGGGATCGTATAGCACAAATCATAAATTAAATGGAGCAATGGTTTATTAAAATCTTTACTAGAATAATAAAATGAGTGATGTTTAACATTTAGTATATAACCTGTAATAAAACCGAGCAGCATCTGGGTCACAAAGATGAATAAATAAAAATAAATAAATACATAAATAAAGCAATGGATGTGGGCACCATTCAAACATCTAAAACAACATGACAACACTTTTAGAAAATGTAAAATATTTTTGTTTTGGGATATTCAAATTCAGGTTTCTTTTGACATGTGGTTTCAAGGGTGCCTTTTTACCTCACAAATGTCTCATTCTCAGCTACGCGTCTACAGTACCTTGCCATGGGATTCCCGCCAGAAGCAATTTGGAATTGGTTTGTTCGGTGACAAATATTCCACAGAGACTTGGTACAAAAAGTTGTGAAAATGAGCCAGGTTTCTAAAGAAGACCCATAATCTCTGTGGACCAATTACAGTTATCATCCTATCAAACAAAAGAGTGACATTCAGCGATGAAGACTGTCTTTGTGAAGTATTATCATGGCTAATGTTGTTGTTCTCTATATCTCTTTCATATTTTCAGATAACCAATAGCGTTGATTACATTATCTAGAGACACAGCTGATTTCCCTCCTAAAGTCGAGACATGGAAAGGACCGAGAACAAAGTGAGTGGAGACTGAACCAAATGCAGAGAGCATCACAGAATACAGAGGAAGCTGTCCTAATAGAAAACACAGATGTTCCATTTGTGCAAGCAGAAGATTTTCTGGCTTAAACCCATATTATTTTCATTCCCCCAAGGTGTCCACCATCTCCCTGCAAAAACAGACAGTAAAAAATAGATCCAAGTCCACAGAGGAGGTACAGCAAGCCAAAAAGGTAATGGCTCTACAGAATGCTAATGTCACACACATTTCAATTTAAGTGAACCTCATCTTTAGTGTGACTTGTGTGCATATAGATGACAGTGTGGCATTGGTTCATCAAATGAGATGATGATTAAATTGGCAGGGACTGTGTGTCAATTTTCAGCTTCTAATTTTAAAGTACTTTACTAACCTCATTGTTTTACACACAGTAGCTACTGCCCACAATAAAAACTATGTAATGTACAAGCAGTGTGTCACTCTGCTAAAGATTTCAGCAGCTGTCCAGCACCATCTAGTGATGTGGTCAAATAATCTCTGAATGTGTGTGTGCGCGTGCGTATGTGTGTATTTACTCGGGGACAAAGTATCTCTATCTTTCTTTGAATGCATAGTGACTTAGGAATTTGTAAAAATTATTTATAAAAAAAATAATATAATAATAATAAAAATAATAATAAATATTACTACTACTAGTAGTACAAGTATTTTTTGTAATAGACAAAATATCTCTGCCTTTCTTTGAGTGCAGAGTGACATCCTCTTTTGTAAAAATCATTCATAAATAATGTTTTCCCCTCTTCCATCCATCCATCCAATAAATAAATAAATGAATAAATGAATTAATGTATTATTAATAAAAACATGAATGTGATTTATAATAATATTATTATTATTATTATTATTAATAATAATAATAATAAATATTACTACTACTACTACTAGTACAAGTATTTATTTATTTATTTTTCTTTTTTTTTGTAATAGACAAAATATCTCTACCTTTCTTTGAGTGCATAGTGACATCCTCTTTTGTAAGAATCATTCATAAAAAATGTTTCCCCCTCTTCCATCCAATAAATAAATAAATAAATAAATCTATTAATTTATTATTAATAAAAACATGACTGTTATTTGTAATAATAATAATAATAATAATAATAATAATAAAACATTTTAAAAAAGTTTTCCTTTTGTGTAGGTCTGTTGTCTTTATAATTAATTTTATGTAAAATGATTAAAGTCTGTCATGGAGCAAATTTGTACCTTTAACTTTTCACGGGGTCAATTGACAAGAGTAGATGAATACTTTATTAATGCAAATCATATCTTTAAAAGTAATCTCTATGTGCTAATATGCACCCTCTAGGGGTACATAAGGTGTAAAGATGTACTGCACCTTTGAGAGTTCTTCCTCAATCACAAGCAAAAAAGTCATATTTTTGCACATTTTTGGAGAGTGCATGTCCTCATTTAGATAGATGAGTAAATGTGCATGTGTTCAGAAATCCTCTTACTGTTTTCTAAAGTATTTCGTTTGTGCCCTCCTGCCACAGGCCTTTCATACACCACAAAAATCTCTTCCGGCTAAACCAGAAACCGAACAACTAGAGGTAAACATGAAATGACGGATTATGGGCCGCTTTAGAGCTTGACTTTGAAAAAAAAATAGATCAAAGATTAGACCAAAGACCAGTCAGTGCTGCTTGTGCTGTCAGAGCTGCTTTATTATGTGCTTCATGTTTGTGTTTGATGTCCTCGATTACATTGTGTCTAATGTGTTGTATATTTTATAGGAAACCTCACTGAGTGCCTCATCGGAGGAGTTCAAATGATTGCTGGATTCAAACTTCGGGGCTTTGAGATTTAGACAGATCAACTGGAATTATGGGTAATGACAAGAGGATGATTCAGTGTCTCTGTTCATAAAATTGTGACTCAGTTTTATTTAGTTTAGTTAGCATAGAAGAAAACAATAATCATGTGTAGCTTCTTGAATTTGTATGAGTCTGATAATGTTTGTGAAATAAATGCACAGCTGGATATCACAGTGAATTGTGGATGTGATTCATATTAACAGGTTCATACAGTACATACACAGTTGTAGTGACTTGTAAATCATCAATTGAATTTGAAAAACTAAATTCAATTAAAAAAACACAGTTGCACTTTATTTTACAGTACATAAAGTGCACATACTTATCTAAGAAAGCACTGGGTAATATAAGGTAACTACATGGGTTCAGGGTTATTACCTAGTTATTGTATTATTTAAAAAGTACATAGCATGTGGCACAGGACTGTAAAATAAAGTGCTATACCAAAATCACAAACACAGTATCATAATATTCAAAAGTAACATTTATTGTACATCTTAAGTGCATTGAAAAAGATAGTTTTCTTAATCGTATTTGTTTTCTTGTATTCAAATAAAAGTATTCAAAATATTTAAGTAACTAAATATCTAATGCAGTAAAGGTCCTTAAAACAAAACCATTTTTTTACTTCAAATTTGTGTAATATAATGTAGCTTCAGATAATATATCAATAATGTTTTCAATAATAATAATAATAATATAATATGTGACCTTGGACAACAAAACCAGTCATAAGGGTCAATTTTTCGAAATTGAGATTTATACATCATCTGAAAGCTGAATAAATAAGCTTGTTATGATAGGACAATATTTGGCCGAGATACAACTATTTGAATATCTGGAATCTGAGGGTGCAAAAAAATCTAAATATTGAGAAAATCCCCTTTAAAGTTGCCCAAATGAAGTTCTTAGCAATGCATATTACTAATCAAAAATTAAGTTTTAATATATTTACAGTAGGAAATTTACAAAATATCTTCATGGAACATGATCTTTACTTAATTACCTAATGATTTTTGGCATAAAAGAAAAATCAATAATTTTGACCCATACAATGTATTTTTGGCTATTGCTACAAATATACCCCAGCGACTTAAGACTGGCTTTGTGGTCCAGGGTCACATATAATAAAATATTCAATAATGTTTATATCTAAATTAAGCATAAACCTCATTCATTTGTAACAATTATTAATTATTGTTACAATTAATAGGAGATAAATATATAAACTTAATTTAAGATATATTCAGTGCAACATCAGGTCTTAAGTAGTTTTTAAATTGATTTTGTTACTTTAAATTGTTGTATTAATACAGTGTAATACAGCTTCAGATAATATCCTGAATTGTGTTTATATCTTGAATTAAGCACAAATCCCACTAAATTTGATGTTTTAAGTATGTTCAGACATATTTACTAAAAAAAGACAAAAACACTAATTAAGAACATGATTTTTGCAGTCGGAGAGCGAAACAAAACATAAATAATGATGCTGGGGATTTAATGAATGAATTAAGCCAATTATACTAAAGTCTGGATTTCTATTCTAAGCACCAATATCAGCTTTATATTTCCAAATGTATCCACTGCAGTCAAAAGGCTACTAGCTCCTATCTACTGCTAACAACCATGCCAGTGTCCCCTGACTGATAACAGACAGATGCTGGGTGTTCACATCATGAGCTTTCACCCACTCTAAATTATTTCTGCTTATTTGGCACTGAAAATTACTGTGGCCCATATCATTAGTGCTGTTGCTCCATTGTCACATCACCACAGTCAGCTCACCGCAGGAGTACGGATTGAGGCTGAAGGCCGGCTTCCCTACAGATCCAGCTCTGGAGCAGAGTGCAGAGTACAAGGTTAGAGAATTAGAGTTTCAGGAAACATTGTGCTCACAGTGACACTTTATGAAAAAAATGAATCAATTCTGTCAAGCTTTCATTTCATTGTTCGTGGGTGTCCATGTTTGCCAGCTGGCCAAGACGTAAATTATAGGAATGTTTGGGGAGAAAGCTATTTTTATTGAACTCACCACTGTTGCTATTTGATTATTGTGATTGTGACAGTGGTGGCTCGTGGGTTTTAAAATAGAGGAGGCACATTATTTGTATTGGTCTGGGATCCCTGTCGATTATTATTATTATTATTATTTGCTTAACCACTTTAAATTGGCTTTTTGGTTGCTTTTAGTCAGAAACGTAAAGAAAACGACACACATACAGCAAGATAATATAATTTCCCTTACTGGCCTATCACTTGAAACAAACATCCATCTTTTCTTAAAAGTCTGTGTTAAAAGAGAGCTGCCTGTTGCGCCATTTAATTAAGGCGACTGCTGTAGCCTATATCCAACTTAGGCTGTTTTGCCTTTTTTAAAATTTGTATATATAGACCAATTTGGAGTAGACGTTACAGTTACATCACCTGCAGCTGCGCGCGCATTGTGGTGGTAGAAAAACACTGGGAACAAGTGGAGGGAAGCGGGTAAAATCCACGGAATAAGAGAAAAAGATTTATTGTTGTGCCTTTGGATGTCAGAATCGAATGCAAATAATTTTATATAATACTGTCATCAAAGATGCCATTTGAAGCTAAACGCAGACGTTTAAACCGACAGACTATGGATGAAACCTGCTGTGATTACCCTACTTTAAAGCATAAATTAGATTTAAACAATAGGTCTATATAATATTCACATATGGGACATATTGTATTAGCCCCACAGTTAAAGCATGAAATAGGCTACTATTTAAACATATGACATTTTACATAACATGTAACAATTCTAACTTTTTTTTTCTTGCAACTGCAAGTTTATCTCCTAGTTCGAACTTTATAACTTAATTCAACTCAACAATTGCGAGTTTGTCAATTCTGAGGGGGAAAAAAGCCAGAAGTGTGGTATTATAAACTTATGATTCTGAGAAAAAGAGAGAATGACGAGTTTATTTCTCTTACAGGAATTACCAGAAATAATCTCGGAAATTAAAGAAGAAAATCGGAATTTTGAAATATAAACTCAAATTTTTTTATTCCATGGCTTGCATAGCAAACTGAACCTCGAACCGAAAACTGAACGCGACACATAACCCTGTAATAAAACCCTGTAATAAATCACGAATCAACATGTTTCGGAAATGAAGCAGTCAGTCAAATTTACATTATTTAGGAAAATAACTTCCATTTTAATAAAAAAAATATATAACAAACATGATTAATGTAACCATTTTAAAGAAAAAAGGTTGTTTTGTTATAGCTTTTGGAGCAAGGGCGCCGCCATCTTGCAGCACCACCGCGTGTAGCGTCACGGGGTTGGTTTGCTCCGTTGGCCAGTGAAGTAATATAAGCATTTCTTAACATTTTCAACACACGCTTGTTTTGAAATGGAGGAAGACGAACTTGAAAGCACTGTTTAGTCCATAATAAGTGTAATTGCCTATGCATTTGAGGCGATACGGCGATGGGACCGAGCAGTATTAGGGGTTGAAGAAGTCGTGAACCTGCTGTTTTGGGGTAAAGTGCGGATCGGAAACAAAACTCGGTTACGTGGATACTCCTCAAGACTGTCATTCCGACATGCTTTTGTGTGCATTTGCTGATGAAGGCATGAAAAGCTCAATTTGGTAGCCTACTCACGTGCTGTCCGAGCCGAGCTCTGGCTTTTTGTTTGTGTGTGGCGCCGCCGGCGCGAACAGAAATCATCTATCATTCACAATGCACCACATTTAAATCTTTCAGAAAAGGTCTATCACAGCGTGTGAGTACCACATTGAAATCTATTTCATGCTGTCTCATGCTAGAATTGCTTAAAACACTATAATATTTAAACTGACAAGGCTTAAAACACGTGAGAATGATAAACTTTATTGAGGAATCAGCACTGGTCCGATTGTTCAGATAGGTGATTAGTTAAACACTACCTGTTAACAGCAGGAAAGCTGTTTGTATTCAAGCTAATTGTATTCGCAGGTGAACATAAAATATGATACATACAACTGGTGAACCACTGTCATTCCGACATGCTTTTGTGTGCATTTGCTGATGAAGGCATGAAAAGCTCAATTTGGTAGCCTACTCACGTGCTGTCCGAGCCGAGCTCTGGCTTTTTGTTTGTGTGCGGCGCCGCCGGCGCGAACAGAAATCATCTATCATTCACAATGCGCGAGTACCACATTTAAATCTTTCAGAAAAGGTCTATCACAGCGTGTGAGTACCGCATTGAAATCTATTTCATGCTGTCTCATGCTAGAATGGCTTAAAACACTATAATATTTAAACTGACAAGGCTTAAAACACGTGAGAATGATAAACTTTATTGAGGAATCAGCACTGGTCCGATTGTTCAGATAGGTGATTAGTTAAACACTACCTGTTAACAGCAGGAAAGCTGTTTGTATTCAAGCTAATTGTATTCGCAGGTGAACATAAAATATGATACATACAACTGGTGAACCAGTCAGTGTAATGCATATGTCTTAATGGTCTGACATAACAATAAAATGTGACATGAATGACATTGCATGAAGCGTTGTTTGTTTACATCACTTTGCTTCTTGTATTATGAAAACAATGTTTGGGATACCACACTCAAAACTTAGCATATAGTTTAGCGACAGTTTGATGTTGAATATTTATCCAAATTATGGTGAAAACCAAATTATTTGTGTGTTAGAATAACATTTGTGTGTTCAAAATGTAAAGAAATGCTTATATTACTTCACTGGCCATAGGAGCGAACCAACCCCATGATGTCACACGCGGTGGTGCTGCAAGATGGCGGCGCCCTTGCTCCAAAAGCTATAACAAAACATCCCTTTTTCTTTAAAATGGTTACATTAATCATGTTTGTTATATATTTTTTAATCAAAGTGGAAATCACTTTACTAAATAATGTTAACTTAACTGAGTGCTTCACTTCCACTTTAAAACGGGCATTTTCTGCCACCAGATAGGCTCCGCCCACAAAAACCGTCATCACTGTTTGCAAACACTGAAATTGGTCTATACTGTTTGAATGACA